ATGGAGAACTGCCTTTATCTTCTGCAACAATTTGAAGTTCATAGCAATTAATATCTTCATAGTCCAATTTTCCAATTACTCTGATTTCCCCAGTGTCAGAATTTATACTAAAGAGCTTTGTCACGTCTAGAGGTAGGCTATTACTAAAAAAATAAGAGATTTCCCTATTAATCCCTTCATCTAAGTCAATAGCATTCAGAGTAATAACTAATGACCCACTAGCTGTATTTTCTAGCAACTTTACCCTATAAACAGATTGGTTAAAGACAGGAGGGTTGTCATTCACATCCAGCACATTGATGACTAGCCGAACAGTTCCTGTGAGTTTTGGTTCCCCTGCATCAGTGGCTGTCAATACTAAATGATGCACAGGATTCTCCTCTCTGTCAAGTGGCACCTTCAGTACAAGAACTACATATTTGCTATCATCTTCATTATTTCCTGAATCAAGACTAAAATGGTTGTTTGCGCTCAGCTTGTAAGTTAACAAAGCATTAGTACCAACATCTGCATCAGAGGCTCTCTCTAAGGCAAATCGTATCCCAGAAGTTATCAATTCTGCTATGCTCAGTATCTGTTCCCTGACAGAGAAGACAGGAGCATTGTCATTAATGTCTTTTATTTCAACCTCCACATGGAAGAACCTCAGAGGTTTCTCCACAATCATATCCAGAGAAAGGACACAGTCTGCATTCTTGGCACACAGCTCCTCCCGGTCTATCAGGGAATTTACAAACAAGATCCCATTCTGCAGGTTTACCTCAAAATAGTCCTTCTCTCCTTTGGACAACATCCGGAACATCCGAGGCACCAGCTCTCTCACTTCCAACTCCAGATCCTGGGCAATGCGGCCCACAAAGGTGCCATGTTGGGATTCCTCCAGCACAGAATAATGGAGCTGGCCGCTCCCCATTTTCCAGGCGGTGTGGAGCAGAAACAGCTGCAGCAGCCCCTTCAGCCAGGTAGGCATTGCAGACACAGGCACAACACCAGCAAGCTCGTCTCTTTTTCTCTAAATATCTTGACTTAAAGGTGACAGGAGCAGAGCCCATCTACCTCAGCCATGATGGTAATGCGTTCATAGGTTGAATCTTGGCTTGTTGAGCTTTCTGTTGGTCGATATTTCCCTTGTGGGTCTGGCTAGCAGGAATGTCGGTCCGTTTAAGTGAGGGGCTCTGTATTTTCAATTTCACTTACAGGGTTTTCTTAGGAAACAGCGACCCCTTGTGACTGAAGTTCAAAATGGAGCAGCAGTCTCCTTTTGCAAACATGACAATTTTCAAATAAACTTTTAGTATTTATTGTATGCGTATCTGGATATATGTTTCCATAGACTGCTTAGAGTTAATTCATATATTTCTGTATTACTCTGACTGTCAGTATCATTTTTCCCCCTAATCATTGAATCAGCCCTAAGAAGTGTAATAGCTAAGTTTCAGCATGATGTTTCTATACTGATACAAAACATTAAGAAGTATCTAATGGAAGAAAAAATTGACAAGGTGATTGGCTATCTTAAATCAGAATCTAAGCACCATGGGAAAATTGGCTGAGGAGATAAAAGCAACAGGAACCCTGGGAAAAAGAGGCTACATCTTATTTTTGTTAAGGCACAACAGAGAGAAAAGTGAGTGATATCTTACATATAGTAGATATTTGATTTCCACATATTTGGAGATTTACTAGGCCAGAGATTGTGGGAAGAAATCCTCAGGTCAAAGGGTGCAGGATATTTATAAACTTCTCAAAATTAAGATTTTGTTGATAGAATTGCATATTATTCCCATGAGAAGAAAAAAATGTAATGTAGAAAAATATTGTGTATATATAGAAAGCTTTGAACTGAAATAAGAGCTGAAGGAACATGTGTAGAAAATAGAATGTTGGCATTATCATCAAGTAGGTGTGTTAGCAAGTAGCCAAGTCTGTAAAAAGAAAATCAGACTAAAATTTTAAAAGGATCTTAGATTCCAAGGAAAACTAAGAGCAACAAAAATCAATTTTGGTCTACATCAGTAATACATAAAAGAAAAGGGAGGATCTGCTGTTATAACAGGATGGTAAAACAGCAACTAGTGAGAGGGAGAGCTCAGAGCTCAAATAAATGAATGTAGAATAATTGCTATAAGGATTAAGTGACAACCTAAGAAAAATAAAGAGAAATTTATTGAGCATCTAGCAATCACAAACAAGTTTAAGCCTCCAAAAGTAAATTAATTACATGTGATAATCTAGAAGGAGCTTGTGGATGTCATCATGGAGCTCTTTCTGTGATCTTTGAGAAGTCAGAATGATAGATACAGTGGCAGAGACCTGGAGAAAGGCTCATCTTCAAAAAAGAAGAGGACTAGTTAAGTATAGACTGGTCACTTTGACACTGATACTGGGCAAAATTCTAGAATAGATGATTAAGTGAGCATATAGAAAATAATGATTTGGTTTGCAATAGCTAGCCTAAGTTCATCAACAGCAGACCGTTTCAAGCCGTTGTAACCACCTTTTTGTATTCGAGTGACCAGTTTAATTGATCATGGCAATGATGTGGATACAGTGAATGTTGATTTTACCAATGCATTTGCCAAAGTCTCTTTTGGAATTCTAATAGTTAATATAGCAAAATCCTGTCAAAAAAAGTTGGACTCTGCTAACGCGATCCAAGAGATATGTATCAATGGTTCCACATGATGAGTGTAATGCCTCAGGGCTCAATTCTAGATTCCACATTGTTGAACATCTTACAAGTGACTTGGATAAGAAATTAAAAAATATGATTATCTAACTTGCAGATCACACAAACAGTATCAAGAATCAAGAGGACCCTGACAAGCTGGAAAAATGAACAGGGAAAAAAACCCTGCTCAAGCAGGAAACTCTATACTATTTCAGACAAATGGTTGTCTAATCTCTTCTTAAAAGTTTTAGGTTGGTTCTTTTCTTGGTTAGATTCCATCCATTGCTTCTTGGCCTGCCTTCAGATGCTTTGGAGAATAAGTTGACTCCTTTTCTTTGTGGCTGCCCTAAAGATATTGGAACACTGCTATCATATCACCCTAGTCCTTTCTTTTCATTAAAGTAGACATTCTTGCAACCCTTCTTCATGTTTTAGCCTTCAGTTAATTATCTTTGTTGCTCTTCTCTGCACTCTTTCTAGAGTCTCAACATCTTCTTTATATCATGGCAACCAAAACTGGATGCAATACTCCAAGTGTGGTCTTACCAAGGCATTATAAAGTGGTATTAACCAAGTGATCTTGATTCCATGCCTCTATTAATGTAGCCTAGGACTGCATTGGCTTTTTGGCAGCAACAGCACACTGCTGGCTCATATTTAAATGATTGTCCACTAGGACTCCAAGTTCCCTCTTGCAGTTACTATTTTTGAGCCAAATACCGCTTCTTCTATAATTGTGCATTTGTTTCTTCTTGCCAAAATGTAAAATCTTACTATTCTCTACACTGAGTTTCATTTTTTTAAATAGGGCCCACTGTTCAGGTCTGTCAAGATCCTTCTGTATCTTGAGCCTATCTTTTGGAGTATTGTCTATTCCTGCCAGCTTAGTGTCATCTCCAAATTTGATGAGTTCCCCTTCTATCCCCTCATTTAAGTCAGCAGGAAGAAATTTAGAGTTGTTGTGGGGGAAATAGTTATATTATATCTGTTCACCACCTTAAGTTATTTGTAAAAACATGATGTAACTAAATATAAATAAAAAATTATTGTGTCGTTCTATTCTGCCTTGGTCAGATCATATCTAGAACATTGCTTACAGTTCTGGGTAATGAATTTCAGGAATGGAATATACAATTTCAGTTTGTTCCAGACAACAAGTCACATTAGGCTTCAACTACAAGGAAACACAGCAAAAAATGGAACTAAAGTAAAATATAATGAAGACCAAACTAATGACAATAGATACAACAACCAGCCTTAGAACTGACTATAGAGATATTGAAGGATGGATGGCTTCTGCCTTTTAGTACCAACCATCAATAATAAAAGAACAAGCAGTCAAAAAAATAAGCCTTAGACCAGCACTTGATAGGGTAGCCATGAAGCTCTTGGAAAAGATATTCAGATGTGTCCATATCTACAAAGATCAGAATCATGCAAGCCATGATATTCCCTTTGATGCTGTGTGGAAAGGAACATTGGACTCTGAAGAAGCAGGATAGGAAAAGTATTGACACTTTTGAAGTTTTGATGCTACATAAGACTCCTGAGAATATTATGAACATCCAACAAACAAATGGATCACTGAACAAATCAACCCAGAGTTGTCACTTAGCACAAATGACTTGGTTCAAATTATCCTTCAGACACATTGTATGAAAACCTAAAATCTCTGGACAAGATTCTAATGCAGGGTAAGATGGAAGAAAAAGTGAATGGAAGTGACTAAATCAGTGGATAAAGGAAATGTTGTGGATATAGTTTACTTAGACTTCAGTAAGACATTTGACAAAGTAGACCACAGCCTATTTCTTGATAAGATAGAACAATGTGGGATAGAAAGTACCATCACCAGATAGATTTGGAGTTGGCTGACCAATCACACTCGGCATGTAGTCCTTAATGGAACTACATCTTCATGGAAGGAAACATGGAGTGGGCTGTCTCAAGGGCCCAGTGCTCTTCAACAGTTTGAAGATAAACGATTGAGATGAGGAGATGGAATTTGCAGATAATACCAAACTGGGGTGGAGGGGAGAAATGGCCAACATTTGGGAAGAGACTCATAATTTAGAAGCATCTTGAGCAATGACCCCTATTCAACAAGGCACAGTTTAATAGTGAGAATGCAGTCTTAGGCTACATCAACAGTGGGAAAGCATCAAGATCACAAAAAGTGATAGTACTGCTCTACACTGCCATTCTGGGTCATACCAGTTGTAATCACTATACTAAATAAAAATGCTGAGAATCTAGAAAAGTATACAGAGCAATAAAGATGATAGCTAGAGCTAAACCATATGATGAACTGTTGAGGAAACTAAGTATGTCTAAGTATGTATTTCTGAGGTTAAGTGGACTCCAGGAGATGGTGGAGGACAGGAAGGCCTGGAGGAACATTGTCCATGGGGTCGAGATGGATCGGACACAACTTCGCAACTAACAACAAAAGTATGTCTAGCCTAACAAAGAGAAGGATTGAGGAGACATGATAGCTTTCTTCCAGTACTTGAAAGATCGTCACAGGAGGAGCGGGTCAACTTATTCTCCAAGCAACCGAGGGCAGAACAAGAAAGAATGGGTGGAAGCTCATTAAAGAGCGATCTAATCTGGATAAAGAGAACATTCCTGACAGTGAAATAAATTAATCAATGGAACAACTTGCCTCCCAGAATTGTGGGTTCTCCATCACAGGAGGTCTTCCTAAAAAGATTGTAAAAATTGTTTCCGCAAAAATTCAGGAAAAAACACAGCTGGAGGTGTAAATCCTTCTTTACTAGAAGAAATATATAAACAGAGTCAAGATGGTCATATGTATGAATGCTGTAGTGATGAAATCTGATGCTGAAGTGAGGGAAGGAGTGAAACAACTGAGTAGCCTTGAGTCCCTTTTAAGTGCTGAAGGGGGATCTTTCTTAAAAGTATAAAATATTTACCCTAGTAGTTTTGTAGTGCTTTACTCTGACACATCTGTCTATAAACAAGCAACAATAATCATATCATTTCTGATTCCTTGCGCCTAATGGTATCTTTGCATTGTTTATCTAATTTATTTCCAAGGGTCTTTTCTATAAGGTACGTCTCTTTGCTTCATAGACTATGTTTATTAGAGCTTTACTTATAACAATAATACAACCTTCTAGCAAATAATTAACTCTACTATCCTTCAGGTTTGTCTCCATTCTCTATTCTAAAAGGTACAGGAAGACATATTTTTTTCTGGTCTGCTAATAAAATTGTGGACACTAACACTTATTAGTTCAGCAAATTTTCCTGAAAGTGATCAATCTCAAATTCCATTTTACCTGCAATCAGCTCATTTGTCCTATGTCCAGTTCTTGGCACACTTTAATAAGGATTCATATAAACTTAAAGAGATTCAGATGAAAACAAGGATGAACTTTGTATTATTATTTTTAATTATGCAATTTCCATAATTATATATAAAATTTCGATATCCACAATGGCAGTGTACTGTCTGGGTACAATTTTTTTTAAATACAAATCTTATACACACATTAATTATAATTATAACCATTATTCACTCAATCTATTCACCATAATCTTCACATCCTTATTAAAGAGTTTCCATTATTTACTTAAGCATTTGGTTTTATCATATAATTAATATCAGACTTCATGAATATCACATTTATCACCATTATCCTCCAAATCTAATTAATTATACATTTACTTCATTTTTATTCATTATTTCATTCCTTGATTTTAATTTTCTAACTTCTGTTTCTATTTTCTAACCATAGATAAAATAGTTCCCAAGTTAAAAAGTATACCATGTCCTTCTTATCCTTGATCTCCAAAGTTAATCTATCCATTTCCATATAATCTAATATTTTATTCATTACATTTTCCTCTGTAGGTATATTTTCATTTTTCCAATTTTATGCACAAATTCTCGCTGCTGTTGTCACATGTAAAATTAAATATGTGATTCTTTGGTTATATTTTTCCGGTAAAATTTCCAACAAAAACATTTCTGGTTTTAAGTCTATTTGTTGTTTTGTCATTCCTTCTAACCACTATTTTATTTTTGCCCAGTATTTTTTTGCCCTCGGGCAAGTCAACCACATATGATAATAAGAAGCTGGTATCTGTTTACATTTCCAACATTTGGGAGATACATTTTGAAACATCTTTGCCAGCCTTGCTGGAGGCAAATGCCACCTATAAAACATTTTGTACAAATTATCTTTATAAGCTGTTGACATCGTCAATTTATAATTCCTTTCCCAAAGTTTTTGCCATTTGTCTAATTCTATGGTGTACCCAAAATTTTTAGACCATACAGTCATTGGGGTTTTTTTTAACCTGTTCTTCTTCCATTTTAAAATTCAATAAGTAGATATAGATATATATACACACACATATACATACATACATACATACATGCATACATACAATATATATATTATTAATTTGTCATCCATCCCCAAAAATATCTGGTCTAGTTCTAAAGGTTCTTTATAGAACCTACATTTCTGCATCTTTCTTGTATCTTGATTGTATTTGGATGAATGGCCACCAGGCCAAATCGATTCCTTGGTTTTCCAGTTCTTGTTTCAATTTTAATTCCCTTTGTTCATTTAGAATATCTTTATATCTTGTAATTCTTCCCAATTCAACAGTTACATTTGGTTGAGCTAATGCTTCCATCGTGTATAGCCAAATCAATATTTTCATATAATGTTTCTCTTTAATTCTTTCCCATACTGAAAATAAAGCATTTCTAATGTTTTTGAAAATAACCATATATTTTATTTTTCCCATACCACATGAATGCATGCCACCCCAATTGTAAATTCATACAAACTACGAGAGAAGAAACTCCCAAGAGAGGTACATGTGAGATTTATCAAGGATGATCATTGATTACAAGTTAATTAAAGCTAATTAAAAGAACTGGAAAGTCTCAAAAAGGGATGATGGAGCAAGAATATAATAGTTAATAATTAAACTGTTATATGTGAAAGAAAACATAAAAGGACCTGTTTCTTATCATTCAGAGTGCAAGACATGGTATACTACATTTCAGATACATGAAAAATGCATCCAAACAAAAGTACTAATTAAATTAGTGAATTTCAAAATTGAAAAGAAAAAAATTCTGAAAAAGAATCATATAAACAAAATAATTTTAAGGAAATGTTAATAATGACCCCAATTTAATTGTTTTAAAAATAAAAACTTCCACAAAATAAATAAATATATAAATATAGACAGCAGTCATGATGATTAATCAGCTAATAGTAAAGCCAAGTAATGGCTCACACATTTGGAGTCCCAGACCTGGGTACATAGTCAAGTTTTTAGAGCTTTGAGTAAAGCTAACAAGACTGGAACCATTGTAATCTCTGAGGAGAGGATATTCCATAAGGCAGAAAAGGCCCATCTTCTAGTTCCTGCCAGTCAGACTCTTTGAATTGAATTCTGCATGTCATTTGCAATGAAGTGGGCAATGAAGAAAACATATACTACTGATTACACTTGCAGTACTGGAATAGCTGCAAAAATGTCCTGTATAAAGAAATACTATTGTATCTCCCACCATCAACACAGAATGTAAGTCAATTACTAGCAATTTTTTTCCCAGTTGGACAGACACTGCAGAAGGATTTTGACAGACTTTAATACTGGATCCCACCCAACAAAATGAAATTCAGTGGTGAAAAAAGTGAGCTTTTGCACTTAGGCAAGAAAAATCAAATGCATAGGTATAGAATACGTGGTACGTGGCTCAACACAATAACTTGAGAGGGATCTTGCAGTCCTATGGACACCCACTTAAATATGAACTAGCAGGATGCTACAAATGCCAAGAAAACTAATGCAGGCCTAGGTTGTGTTAACAGAGGGATAGTATCAAGATCACATGACCACATTATAATGTCTTGGTAAAACTACACTTAGAATATTGCATCCAATAACTCTTGAGTATCAACAACATATGCAAAACTTTAGAAAATCTAAGAACAAATTTAAGAAAGTCCAAATAATCTTAATCCATTCAACATGAATAATTTATCAATAAAAATATATATGAAATTATATATATTTAATATGATTTCTAATAATGATATAGTTACCAAATAAAATAACTACATGTAGCAGAAGCAATCTACAGTTAAAACATCTGTTTCTGCTTTGCTTCTTTGCAAATTGTATTTTTAAATTATTAAATCCTTCCAGTTGCTAAGATATTCACGAGTAATGTTCTTTTAAAAGTTTGCAATACATGCATCAGCCATAAATATTCTTCAAAAAACCCATCAGATTGAGAATCCATTCTTTATTCATTAAAGAATAAAATCATCCACAAAGGCAAAATCATTATTCCATTTGTTTAGTAAATAAATCATGAACAAAAACAATAAGTTGCAAAACATAATAAGTACCCAGAGTCACTTTTGATAGAGAGATGCCATATTAAGTAAAATAATGCTAGTAAGTGTATTTATTTTTCTATTATAGAAACAACTTTGATAATTATTAAATAAACTACAAACTTAACATGTACTTCATTAGCTACTTACATTCCAAATTTCTAAGAATTAATGACTTTTAAATTAACTGTATGACACAGAGGTTCATTCCCAAGGCTATCATTTTAAATTTAATATTTCAATGAAACAATATTTTGTATTGAGATTAATCCTAAATTAGAAGCACAGGTATACTGTGTGGATTGAATGTCAAAGACTCCACAATGAGAACAACTCACCTCTTTAGCTGAATCTGGGATCAATTCTGTCCCATTCCTAAGTTCCCCATTATCTGCAAAGACAGGAATGTTGGGACTGAAAATCATAAGGTCACTCTTGGCACCAGCCTCTGCGCTCACACCTGCCAGGATGTGGCTGTGGCGATTAGAATAGGACCAGCTGCCCACTTCACTAGCACAGACCAGGGTGGCCCTGCCGGGACCATAAACCATGGATTCCGTTGCCTTGCAGTGGCATCTCAGAGCCACGTAGATGAGAGTTGCCAGCAAGAAGAGGCTGGAAACAGAGCAGATGGCAATAATCAGATAGACATTGATTGAGTCCACCAGGGGCACAAAGCTCTCCCCTGACTTGGTAAGGTGAATTTCTGTTAGGATGGCCTGGGCATTTTTCACCAGTGACATACTCAGTGTAGCTGTAGATGAGAGTTGAGGCTTTCCATGATCCTTCACCACAATCAACACATTCTGGATTTTGTTTTCTTCTGACTCATCCAGAGGATATTTGGTACTCACCTCACCACTATACTGTCCAACAGACCAAGGCCCACTACTTTCTTCAACTAGTTCATATCTTAGCCATGCATTGTATCCAGAATCTGCATCCAAGGCATGAATCTTGCCTACAATATGCCCAGGCATCATGGGAATGACTAGAAGAATCAGGTCCTCTTCTGATGATCCTGACACAACAGGTGCATTGTCATTCTCGTCCATCACAAAGACTTGAACAGTCGCATTGCCACACAAGGAGGGCATTCCGGCATCCTTGGCTCTCACCTGGAACTCCAGCAGTTTCAACTCCTCATAGTCCAAGGACTGCAAAGCATAGAGCTTTCCACTCTCCGAATGTAGAGAGATGTAGCTTGACAATGGCCAGAGATTCTCATCTATCCAGTAAGTGATCAGGGCATTCTCAGCTACATCTGGGTCCGAGGCAGACATTGTGAAGATGTGAGCACCAGGGGGATTGTTCTCCTTCACAAAGACTGTGTAGGAGGGCTGTGGGAAAGCTGGAGCATTGTCATTTATATCACTGATAGGAACTAAGAGGGTGAGACTGGAAGACAGTGGTGGAACACCTTGATCTTCCACTGTCACAATCATCTTGTATTCAGCCACCTGCTCTCGATCTAGAGTTGCACCAAGAATCAGGGAGTAGTAATTCTTGAATGTGGACTCAAGTTTGAATGGTACTTCAGTGGGCCATAAAAAACATCTTACCTGTCCATTGGTGCCAGAATCCTTGTCTAAAGCACTGATGATGGCTATGACAGTCCCTGGTGCAGAATCTTCTGGTAATGGCACAGATACAGAATTGACAGATATTTCAGGAATATTGTCATTTATGTCCAATATCTCAATAAGAACTTTACATTGTTTGGACAATGGAGGACTGCCTTTATCTTCTGCAACAATATGAAGTTCATAGAAATTTGTGTCTTCATAATCCAATTTTCCAATCAACTTTATTTCCCCAGTATCAGAATTAATACCAAATGTGTTTTTAAAATATAGAGGTACTTTATTACTAAAAACATAAGAGATTTCCCGATTAATCCCCTCATCTAAGTCGGTAGCATTCAGATTAATAACTAATGACCCACTGACTGTGTTTTCTAGCAACTTTACCCTATAAACAGATTGGTTAAAGACAGGAGGGTTGTCATTCACATCCAGCACATTGATGAGGAGCTGAACAGTTCCTGTGAGTTTTGGTTCACCCGAATCAGTGGCTGTCAGTACTAAATGATGCACAGGGCTCTCCTCTCTGTCAAGTGGAACCTTCAATAGAAGTACTACAGAGTTGGTCTCATCTTCATCACTTTCTGAATCAAGAGCAAAATGGTTGTTTGCACTGAGCGTGTAAGTTAACAGAGCATTAGTACCAATATCTGAATCAGATGCACCTTCTATTAGGAACTGGGTGCCAGATGTTACAAATTCTGCTATGCTCAGGATCTGTTCTCTGGTAGAGAAGATGGGAGCATTGTCATTAATGTCTTTGATTTCAACCTCCACATGGAAGAACCTCAGAGGTTTCTCCACAATCACCTCCAGATGAAGGACACAGTCTGCATTCTTGGCACACAGCTCCTCCCTGTCTATCCGGGAATTTACAAACAAGATCCCATTCTGCAGGTTTACCTCAAAATAGTCCTTCTCTCCTTTGGACAGCATCCGGAACATCCGAGGCACCAGTTCACTCACCTCCAACCCCAGATCCTGAGCGATGCGGCCCACAAAGGAGCCGTGCTGGGATTCCTCCAGCACAGAATAATGGAGCTGGCCACTCCCCATTTTCCAGGCGGTGTGGAGCAGAAGCAGCTGCAGCAGCCCCTTTGGCCAGGTAAGCATTGCAGACACAGGCACAACACCAGCAAGCTCCTCTCTTTTTCTCTAAATATCTTGCCTTAAAGATGTCAGGAGCAGAGACCATCTACCCCAGCCATACTGGCAATGCGTTCATGGGTTGAATCCTGGGTTGTTGAGCTTTCTCTGTCGTTCAATATTTCCCTTGTGGATCTGGCTGGCAGGAATGTCAGTCCCTTTAAGGGAGGGGCTCTGCATTTTCAGTTTCACTTACAGGGTTTCCTTATGAAACAGCGACCTCTTGTGATTATAAATAAAAATGTTTCATTGTGAAAAAAGATTTCTTTTTTCTACACCTACGTGTTATATTAATTTGTTTCCTTTTATATATAGGTACTTTTATTTCTATTCCTTGCAATGAGGTGTGTGATTCTTTGCATCTCATGCTACCCTTCCCTGCACAAAGAAGTGGATGATGTAAAAATAACTGATTAAATCAATGAACATTCCTCCTTCCATTTTTCTCACATTCTCTAGAAGATTTCCCTTACATTCAATTATTACATTTCCCAATGTCCATACTTTCTATTTTTGTCAAAACTGGGTTTAATATTTCCCTTGTTTTTCCACACTATAATCAATATAGAGTTTTGCACAACAGTGGGAAGTTTCCCTTTTATTTAAAAAAAAAGTGTTTCGGTTGCAACATAGGCAATAAATAAAGTTGTAAGATTTCATTAAATGCCATTTTGTTCCAGTGGTTTAATTATCAGACTTTTTTTCCTTGCTTCAAAGTTTTCATGGTCTCGCAGTGAAATGTAGGAATGAAGGAACAGTCTGTTTTCTTTAATGTAATCATTACAGCATCAAAATAATGATGTTGCCAAAAAAGCAGGGTCAAATTAGCATCAACGGAGGGAATACACTGCGAAGGTATCCATATGTGCACATATCTATGAAAGTAAAGGAAAAGAATGGGAACTAGTTAAAAGGAAACTATCCATAAAACTAAAATAAAGGTACTGGAAGACCTGCTGACATAGGGTCTAACAAGCAACATTTGCCTGCCTCCATAATTGAGAAAGCTAACAAGCAGAAGAATGACCAACAAGAGCCTGTAATGACCATTGTCTTGAAAGCACCAATCCAGCTCTCGTCAATCCAGATTGGAATTTTTAAAGTCAGCTCTACCAAGGGGGATGGGGGAGTCAGCACAAGGAGCCTCAGGATCAGGATTAAATAAACTAATGAATCCCATTTCAAAGATTGTTGTGAAGTGCCCATTCATCATTCATATAGAATATGTTTATTGTTGTGCATGTGTACCTCTATACATTTTCTTTTCTTTTTGCTTTTCTTTGTTTTTTTTCATTCCACAATATTTCAGTTTTTATGGTTGCAAGTTCTTCTGAAATTTTATTTTGTTAAACAAAAGCAAAGCATTTCTCATATTTTTAAGTTTTATACATCATGTTCTCTTTTATCCACATACATCACCTGCTTTGCATCAGATGCAGCTATATGAAAGCAATATTTTGAATAATTAATACTGAATATTATTCATTAATATTACTTATCTACTTATTTCTTTTTATTCAGTTTTGATAGCAGCTCATTTATCATGCAAGCCTGGATGACTAGCATGCATTTAAAAGTAACAAAAATTAAAAGTATATGCTGTTTAAAACTGATGTTCTGTGCTCATGTTGACTTGATTTTAAGCTGGTTTTTAAAAACCAATTTGGATTGATAAACCTAGTGACAAGCTTGCAAAGTATTCAATCCTTCCACTGGACAATTCTCGTGGTGCTGTTGTGATGACCCAGGGTGGGATACAAAATAAACACAGTCACAAAAAACAGGTGAAGCCCCTTTTATTCCTTCACTTTGCTTCCAAGCTCCAAATGTCCTTGACTGGAAACAAAAAACTCCCACACAAGCAGTTACAAGAAGGAGGAAATGCCATTTAAATTATAAAAAGTAAAAAAAAAACACCACAAACCAGGCAAGATAAAGGCTTGAAGACGTCCACAGATATCAGAACACATACTGGGAAGAATGCCAAACTCAGAGAGGAACAATAAACTAGAGATATTTCCATGCTTTGTTTCCAGCATTGGCCCGTACACATGTCCGTCCTCTTTTCCAGTTGTCACAGCTGCAGCCCATGAAGAGGATCAAGGCCCTCTCCTCCCCCGTAGACCACGTCTCTCCCTTATCCTCTCCTCTCTGCATACCCTAGGATGGATAGGGGATGGGCCTGGGTCCTCCTCTGACTGCCCAGCCGGCCTGTGCCCTTCCCCAGCCTTCTTCACAACCTCCACAACTTCCACTCCCTGTCAGCTGTTCCTCCTCTCTCTCAGAGTCCGACTCTACCAAGGGCATGACAGCTGTGTTCCTCTATATACCATAGAAATGTTATATATGTGTACAAATATTTATACATACAAACATATTTTTACAAAATTGAGAGTCTATATACAGGAATCAATCCACACACGTGTGCACAAGCTGCATATTTTTTAACAAAATCCGTTTTACTGCCATTCTTGTCCCAAAGGTGCTTTTTCAAATGGCAACATCTTCAAGGAAAAGAAAAGATAGTTGAATTGCCTTTTGAAAAACTCCTTTGGAACAACCATGATCGGGATGACTGAGAATTTCCATAGACATACTGCCATTCTCCTAGACATAGTCTTTTTTTTACTGTTGTGGTAGCACAATAACTATAACTTTTGGCTTGCAAATAGAAGGTTTCTGGTTTGAAATTTGGCAGAAAGTTCTTTAATTATTTTTTTTCTTCCTTCCTTCCTTCTATTTATATATCCACTCATGACACAAACATGACTGACATACAATAAAAAACAAGCTACAGAATGAACAACATTAAAACATTCTACAATAAACAAAACATTACTGATGATGTTATAGCGATAATGATGATGTCACATTGATGATGTTACCTAGTTTGGATAATGAAATATGATGATGTTACCTAGTTTGGGTAATGAAACATCTGCAAAAAAACAACCAAACTCAGAGAGCATCAAGGAATCCTCAACAACATTAAAAGATTAGGAGACTCCAATTTCAATGTTATAGGCAATTTATAGCCTATTTCTTGTCCCATGCTCCTGGAACAGCTCAGGACTAGCAGTTAAACACTACAAAGGCTTCCATGCAAAGTTAGTTTATTGAATTTATTAGGCATCCTCAAAATATAACTGACACTTATGTTGAGATTCATCTAACATCCAATCTTTGCCTCAATAGTTGTCTCAATAGTGTGAAAAGATGGTTATCTTCATCCCATAGCATTATAGCAAAGGAAATCTCCCGTTCGATGCTGGGTCCAGGTAAGAATGCCCAAAAAACTCCCCCAGCCCAACCAGAGACCAATTAGGATTACAGATGTGATCATGTGACATGAACTACATCTCCCATGAAGCATTTCCTTAAGGGGGCAGCTCTCCTTCCTAAATTAACTATATACTGTCTAACCAGCACACTCCCCGCCTGGAATTATAAATTCCACTACCAACTAACCATTAACTAAAGTAAACAGTAGATAGTAACATAGCATCAAACAATGCAACAATGAGGTAGATACAAAGCATGCAAAGCTTGAGGTTCAATCTTCAAGTTCAGCCTTTCTCCGCAACAACACTAGGTTGGTTACCGGTCTGGTGTAGAGCTTCTTGGTGAAAGCCTGCAGGTCGCAGGAAGACTCTCATGACCTCACAATCTGGACCTCAACTGGTGGACTAGTCCATCAGAGATGGGTAGGACTTGGTGCACAAGTCCCATGTGCCACAAGTTCTGATGGACATCCTTGTCCTTTAACAAGACAAGGTCCCCTCAAAGAAGGTCTTCCATTTACAGCGGCCTTGTAGGGTAGATAGGTATTCTTGCTTCCATGGTTCCAGAAGGTGTCAGAAAGCCATTGGACTTGTTTCCATTATTGCTTGTACAAGTCCTTAGAATCAAAGTTCCCTAATGATGTGGTTAGCAAAGTGGCTGGGGTGAGAATGGCTGGGTTTTCAGGATCTGAGGAAACTGGAACTAAAGGTCGACCGTTGATGGTAGCTGCTACTTCTGCCATGAGGGTGGTTAGAGTCTCATGCTTCAGCATAGGTGTCTTCATCAGCATGGAATCCAGGATTCTGCAGGCTATGCCAATCATGCGTTCCCACGCTCCTCCCATGTGAGATGCATGGGGAGGATTAAATATCCATACACAATTATGGGCTTTTAGGTAGCCATCAATTGCCAAGTTGGGGAGAATGCCTTCATCAATCTGTAATTTCTTGCAAGCTCCTACAAAATTCATTCCACGGTCAGATCTAAATACCTTGACTAGGCCTCTATAGGCTTGAAACCTTCTTAGAGTGTTGATAAAGCAGGAGGCATCCATGGATTCAATGACTTCAGTATGGACAGCTTGAATGTTAAAAGCATGTGAAGAGAACAACCCAGTGTTTGCTGTTAGCTTGACCGCCTCTGGTCCAGCGGGCAGACACTAACCAAGGGCCAAAGACATGTAGATCTATATTGGTGAATGGAGGTCGGGACTAAGATGCTCAGGTGGCAAGTCAGCCATTATCTGGTGTTGAGTCATGCCCCATTGTTTGCAACATTGTAGGCACTTGTCTCTCTGAGACCTCAGCTGTCTGCACCTGCTGCCAGCAAACCACAACACTGTCAAATGTCAGCATCTTGGTCTGGATCTAGAAGCTCATGGTGTTCTGATCCCCCAGGCTTCAGGCTTCAAAAACTCAGAGCCTTTTAGCCAGGTCAATTCTGCTAACTGGGATGCAGGGATAGACCTTGTAGCATGGTCTGCTGCGTTCAGGTCTGTTGGCACATACTACCACTGCTCAGGTTTTGAAGATCTTCTGATCCGATCCACTCTGTTGCTCACGTAGACATAGAAGTGTCTGCTCTCATTGTGGATGTAACCCAGCACCACCTTGCTGTCCATATAGAAGGTGGTGGGTTCTAGCTCAAGGTCTATCATCTTTGTTATCAGATCCACTAGTTCCACGGCCAGCATGGCACCACAGAGTTCCAGCCTTGGTATGGTATGACGCATCTGAGAAGACATGCAATTCTTTCTTCCATGCAGTGACAGGCGAGATAGGGACGTACATACATTGCAAATGGACATCTTGGAGA